TGACAGGGGGTGGTGCTGCAACCTCCCCATCGACCCTGCCTTGAGTGTGACAGGGGGTGGTGCCCCAACCCCCCAATCGGCCCTACCCTGAGCGTGACTGAGGGTGGCATCGCAACCTCCTGATCCGCCCTGCTCTGTGCATGACGGGGCGGCGCCCCAACTCCCCAATCGGCCCTGCTCTGAGCCTGACCAGGGGCTGCACTTAGGGATTGGGCCTGCCCTCTGCCACCCGGGAGCAGGCCTAAGCCAGCAGGTCGTTATCTCCCGAGGGGTCCCAGACTGCGAGAGGGCACAGGCCGGGCTGGGGGACCCCCCTCCCCCCGCCCCCCGAGTGTGCACAAATTTGTGCACCGGGCCTCTAGTATATATATAATTCCATCCAGAAGCAGCCAAACAGAACACTCTACAGTATAGATCATATGTTAGGTCACAAAACAAGTCTTACTACATTTAAGAAGATAGAGGGAGCCGGCTATTTATATCCCATGAGGACCGCTGCCCTGGGCCCCCACTAGCCAAACCTGCCTCTGGGGCTCTCTCTGATCTCGCCCACCCCTGATCCCCCAACTTCTCCCTGACCTGCCTTCTCAGCTACACTCAGATGGACCTGGCATGGTATTCACCAGGTTCACTTCTGGACACCAGTTTTACTCCTTTTGCTGCTTCACAACCAGTCTTGAGCGAAGAAGAAAACCCGAAGAATATTACTGCATTAGACCTGTAACTGATATGCTTAATGCTGATCCTGGTTCCAACTGCTTTTATACCTCCCTGCCAGATTAATCTTCTCAAAGCAGAGCTCGGATGATGTCATTCCTCACACCCTTTAAGTAGAAACTCCTCAGCTTGGCTTTGAAGCTCACATTTCCCAAATGGACCACATGAAGAGAGAGAAAACAGGAGACTCTCAGCACCACAACAACCTTTCTGATCAGTGGGATGACAGCCAGACAGAGCTCCGTTAACCCAGGAATGTGACCCAGCTTTGCTGGGAAAATGCCATGATTAGGCTGCTTGGAAGCGGGGACCTAAGTGTGAAGGACTGCCCAGCCCAGAGTAAAGGGAGGTATGTGTTGAATGCACTGGAGAGGCAGAGGGTGGAGGTACAGCCGCTGGGATGATAGAAAGCTGGCTGTGCTGTCTATCATCCTGCAACCCCACGAATCCTTGGTGAAAATATTAAAGTCACAAAGTGCTTGGCAGGCATAGAATTCCAGTGGAAACTAGTGAAGAGATCTTATGCATCTGCTGTCCATATTAGCCTAGGGCAGAAAAGCAGGGCATCCTAAGGAAACTAACCTCGAGGAATTCTCAGAAATCTCGAAGTGGGATCTGAACTCTCATAGTCCCTAAAATAAATAGGTGCTGGCACCATGTTCCCCTCAATTTCTGAAGGGCAGGGAGGTCCCAGTTCCATCTGGTTTACACGAGTAGTAGTATTAGGATGAAGGTAGCTTATTGTCAAAAATTTAAAAAAAAAGAAGATAGAAATCATATCAAGTATTTTTTCCAACCACAATTGTATGAAACTAGAAAACAATAATTTATGGGTATTTCACAAATATTTGAAATTTAAAGCATACTTCTGCACAACTGATGGGTCAAAGAAAAAATCAAAAGGACATAAAAAATATCTTTAAACAAATGAAAGTGGAAACACAACATACCAAAAACTACAGGATGCTGCAAAAAAAACACTTCTAAGAAGAAAGTGCACAGTGTGATAAATGTCTACATTGGGAAACAAAAATATATCAAATAGGTGACCTAATTTGACATCTCAAGAAGCCAGAATACTAGTTTGAGAGAAATACTAGCTTCTCAGAGATTAAAGACTTTACTTGAGAAATAGTTTTGGGTCAAATACATTTTTGAAGCTCTGAGTTAACAAAATTAAACAAATTTCTTCTCAGAAAATGTAATATGTTCATGTGCTTTAAAGGGGGCAGTGTATATTTAAGTTTGTAGTTTCCCACATTTCTCTGTGAAACATGCTACATGGTCTAGGTCCCTTAATAAGGCTTTGAAGAACTCACTTCAGAAAACACTGTACATAGTGATTCACTGAGCTTGAATGTTAGGAAACCATTTTATAAATTGATAATGTTTTTCTTATTATCAGAGGAAATACAATGTGCATGTATACATCACCTTTTCTCATGAATGGAGAAAGACGATGATTCATTTTAACATCATTTATGTAGTTGGTCATGGGGTTCCTTTTCATTACATCAAATGAAGTGTTATAGACAATTTTGTCTAAAACCTCTTCTTTTAGGTTCTTCCCCAGGAATTCCATAACTTTTCTAATTTCACGTTTTGGGTCCTATGTGGGAGAGTAGAAGAAATGTAGTAGATGTTTTTTATATCTAAGGAAAAAAATGTAACAAGGAACAAATCTTAAAGAATTAAGCATTGGAATAATGGTTAAGCCATTTAAAGTTCTATTAGTTTATGTTTAAAAGTAATTCTAACAAAAGTAATTCCACATTTAAATTTATGAATGTAAAATCAATAAGCTTGTACATATAAAGTGCAATTGTATTAAAACCAATTGTGTTTCATACTGTGCTATAGCTGATGCTAAGGGAATAGGCTGAAAATTGTTTTATTTGGGAAGGTTATTATTTTACTTCACTTTTACAGGTAGCAGATAAGAAGCTATTTGAGAGGACAGGTAACAGTCATTCAAAATAAACAAGATATGTCTCCTCCTTGTGATTGGAGAAACACACATACAGAGCCCACGTTTCTCTGGCTTTGATGTCTGATGACTCTGGATCATTGCTTATTCCTGACTCTGGACATGTTGGGTATACCTGTTTAATGATGGACCTCTTGAGAGCCCCTTACACTCTGCAATGGGTTCCTGCCTCATCCAAAAGTGAAGAAGAGGGGTCTGGCCCCCATTCGCTGTGGCTCTTTCAAATAGACAGAGGGCTATGCTGAGGGAAGCAGAGGGCGATGCTGATACTTAGGAAAGCTGCAGAGAGAAAGTATGGCCCCAGCCAAACATTTGGAAGGAAAGAAGCAATACATTATTTCTACCCAGAGTAGAAGAAGAAAAGAGAGGCCATGGTTAATGAAGGAAATCCATGTCATAAACAAAGGCTTGGAGAACCATGGACCAGTCAGGGCTACATTTGCCAGGCATTTATTTTACATATAAATTTATGACAGACTTTGAACCAGAGATTACACATGTTGCTAATGGGGATCTTATTTAAAATGACAAAACTTATTTTAAATATTTATTATTATTATTTTTAATCCTCACCTGAGAATATTTTTCCATTGATTTTTAGAGAGAGGGAAAGACAGAGATAAATATCAATGTGAGAGAAACACATCAATTGGTTGCATCCTGCATACACCCTGACCAGGGCCTGGGCCAGGGAGGAGCCTGCAACTGAGATATGTGCCCTTGACCAGAATCAAACCGAGGACCCTTTGGACTGCAGTCCGATGCTCTATCCACTGAGCCAAACAGGCTAGAGTGACAAAACTTTAATATACTTTTTAAAAAAGTGAACAAATTAAAACAACTCTAGTCTTCCTCAGTACTTTTTTCCTGTTAAGAGTCCTAATTCTTTTCCTTGAAAGTCAGAACAAATGATGGGGGGAGGTAGAGATCCTGGAAGGAGGAACCTGGAGAGCTAAAGAGGGAAAAAACTTGTGGCTCAAACAGAAGACCTCTTCCATGCTTCTGAATGAGGTGGGAATTGGCCCTAGAGTACAGGGAGGCTAGCAGGAAGAAACAGGCTGTGGAGTAAGGTAGCTACTATACTGGTACCATGTTTGGCATTTTGTATGTCACATGGCAAGGTGGTTGAAGAAGTTGAAGGTGGCATGCAAAATATTTTGCATAGATAAACTTTTATATGTTACTTTCCTTCATTGCTGTCATGGATCTGTAACTCAGAAAAAAAATTCTGTGAAGTCAAAATTCAAGTATATTTCTTACTTTCATCATGTCTTCATAGAAGAGATAGAGAATGGGGTGACTCTCTTTCTTCTTCCACCAGCCTTTCACGTGATCAAACCAGGAACCCCATACCACTGGAAGGAAAACACATAAGTGAGAGTAGGAAAAGACAGAAGAGAATATGAGTTGTTTCCTCAGAATACAAATGGAAGGTGTGCTTGGTCAACACAAGAGCAGAAGAACTTACTTTTTATACATCCTATATCCATATTCTGCATTACTTTTCTTCCTTTTGGAAGCTGGCAAGATTACACTCAGGCTCTAGAGCCTACTGGGTTTGAATCTCAGTCCTGACATAGCTGTATGACCCTGGGCCAGTTACTTAACCTCTCTTAGCCTCAGTTATTTTAATTCTCATCTCTGAAAGAGAATCAATAATAGTACCTATGTCATAAGATAATATTAGGATGTATTAATTTATTCTGCAGAGCCTACTATGTGCTCAGCACCATCCTAGGTATTGGGGATAGAGCAGTGGACAAGACAGGTGGAAAGCCCTATTCTGGAAGTGCATCTTGTAGGGGAGACAAATGAGATAAATGTGAAATATGTAGTATATGAGATCATAATGCATGTTTAGGAGAAAAAAGAAATCAGAGAAGGAGAGGGGAAATGTTGCATTTATGTAGAAGGTTTAAATATTCATAGTCTTGCCAGAGAAGGATTCTTTGAGAAGGCAAGATTGCATAAAAACCTGAAGAAGGAAAGTGCATTCCTGGGCAGCGGAACAGCAAGGTAAAGTGCTGGAGCAGAAACTGCCTTGTGTTTGAGGTATAGCAAGGCAGCCAATGGGACTAGGACAGACTAAGAGAGGGGCAAAGGAACAGGAGAAAAAATGTGAGCGGAAAGGAGGCTCAACCCTATGGGCCTTATGGGTCACAGTTCAGGCTTAGGCTTTCACTCAGTGAAATGGAATGGCGTTGGTGGGCTTTGAGCAGAAGAATGAGGTGGTCTGACTTCCCTTTTAATAGAATCTCCTTGGTTTCTGTGTGTAAAATAGATTGTAGCTTGGCAAGGTCAGAAGCTGAGAGATGGGACAGGGGCTTCTCATTTTTCCAGGGAAGGTGTGATGGTAGATTGGACCAAAGTAGTTGGAGAAGTGCTCAGGACAGATAAGATTCTACATATAGTTTGAAGGTAGGGTTAACAGATTTGCTGTTGGATTGGGTGGGGTGAGTAAGAAAGAAAGAGGCTCAAGATAAGTTCAAGATTGTAGGCATAAGAAACTTAAAGCACAGTCACAATTAACTAAGATGTGGAAGCCTCCAGAAGGAAAGACAAAAGTTTGGATTTGGACATGTGAAGTCTGAGATGCCTCATAGTCATCCAAATGGAGAAGTCAGTGAGGCAGCTGGGTCTATGTACCCAACACAGGGTGGAGGCCAAGAATAGAAGTGCAAATCTGTGGGTCATCAGCAGACGGATGACATTTGAAACTAGGAGATGATTGGGATAACCCCAAATCTGCTTCATCAGGTCTCTCTCTCTCTCTCTCTCTCCCTCCCTCCCTCCCTCCCTCCCCCACTTTCTGTAGAGGAGAACCCTCCAAGGTTTTGATTTCCAAGATTTCAGCATGGTGTACAACTTAACCTCACATAGGACAAGGAGTTGGAACTACACTCAGCTCTAATTTAGAAAGATCCATCTATACATCACCCCAGTCCCATGCTCTCAAATTCTTCAACTAGGTCACTTCTTTGTGGCTCATTCTTTGTCAAAAGCATCTGACATCACTGTTAGAACATCCACTGTGAAATTTGCTGAAGACATTAAATCAGTAAAAATACCTCAGGGTATAAATGGATCATTCTCAAAATGTATCTTATAAGGAGCAAATTAGCAATAATAGCTTTTGTCATTTAGGATTATAGAAATCAAATGGCAATTAAAGGCATATTTTCACACTTTACTGTAGACCAGGGGAAAAGAATACTTTAAAAATATTGTTATTGATTTCAAAGAGAAAGGGAGAGGGAGAAAGGTAGTAACGTCAATGATGAGAGAGGATAATTATTGGCTGCTTCCTACATGCCCCCACAATCCAGGCATGTGCCCTGACCCAGAATCTGAATCGTGACCTCCCAATTCATAGGTCACACTCAACCTGTGAACCACACTGGCCGGGCATGGAAAAGAATATTTTATCAAATTTATTCATAATTATTTTAGAGGTATAGGACTCAACTATAGGAGAACTGTAGAGGGCAATTATTTCTTCATAGATCAATATAAATAATTAGCAAAAGGATTTCAGACATAAATTTTGAGCTTAAATAACCAAGTAATGTAGTGCTTAGGTTTTAATCATGCAAAGCTGCCAATTCAACTGCAAAGTACAAAACAATCTGCTCTTATATTTATATTATACCTCCCAAAAGGTATAAACTTGAAAAGGTTTGCTTAAATTACATTTTTTAATGTTTGAAAAATCTTGTTCCTATGAAGTATTCAGATATACGCAAGAGTAGAGGCGATAGTATAATGACTGTCCATGAACCATTACCCAGCTTCAATAATTTAATCACTTTTTAAAAAATATATATTTTTTATTGATTTCAGAGAGGAAGGGTGAGGGAGAGAGAGATAGAAACATCAATGATGAGACAGAATCATTGATTGGTTGCCTCCTGCACACCCCCTACAGAGCATTGAGACTGCAACCTGGGCATGTGCCCTTGAGTAGAATCGAACCTGGGACCCTTCAGTCAGCACGCTGACTGCTCTATCCACTGAGCCAAACCAGCTAGGGCAATTTAATCACTTTTTAATGTTCTTCAGGAGAAGGACTGATGTATTGAAAGGTCTAGTAGTATTTGAGATTTAGAAAAACGTCAAGAATCTTGTGGTAACTTAGTTTTGACACTGGAAGCATGATTGCAAGGCCATACATTTCTGCACATGTAGTTTGTTATTTTGAAGCACCATGGGCCACCATGTTATAAACTCATGATGGTCATGGTTAGAAAACTTGATCATGCACAAAACCTTTCTCTCCAGTTGAACATGTAGGTAATTGGGAAGACTTTAACATGGTTGCCAAATACACAGGATTTGAGCTTAATTAGTCCTGCCTATGTTCAAATTCTAGTCCCTACTCTTGCTAACAGGGTAATAATCAGTTCTGTAAACTCAGTCTCAATTTCACCACCTGTGAATTATGGATATTATTACTGTAAAGATTAAACAAGCAAATTCATGTAAACCATTTAGTATAGGTTTAGAGTTGGAACCAATTTTTATTATAGCTGCTTTCCCTACAGTACAGTTTTGGCTTTATTCAGTGGACATATTGTCATTGGACACAGATACACATACAATGACAAGTAGCCAGAGCTATGCCACATCTCTCAGGAATGTTGCCTCTTGTCTTCCACCCCCTGTAATCAGAGTTTCTTCTGTGAGTGAATTTTATGGAGAGAATTTTATAGAAAGAAGAATTTTATGAGGAAACTTTATCCTCTGCAGACATGGGTAAGACTGGTTCCTTCCATTTGGCTTACCTTTGCCTGACAGGAATGTTTCAAAGTACTCATCCCAGCTTCCAGGGTCTGGGAGTCCTTTGTTCATCTTTTGAAAATAGTAGTAGGACACCATGTTGTCTTTGACATTCCTTGCCACATAAATTATCTAAAGTGGTCAGAAGAAATGGAAGAAACAAAATGTAAATTAAAAAAAAAGATTTAGAAATTGAGCATTTAACGTGCATAGTACCTATCTGTGTTCACAGACCAAGTTCTAAAGGCCACAAATACATTTTTGTTCTCTTCCACTCATCATCCCATCAGCCAGTATAAACTTGTAAATATGAAAATCTGATCAAGTGGCTCCCTTGTGTAAAATTTCAATATCTGTTCATTGCTCTTAGTATTAAGTATAAGGCCCTGTGTGATCTGTCTCTCAGCCAGCTCTCTAACTTCCTTTTGCTCACTCCTTCCGCAGTACACTACTTTTCAGTTCTCTGATCTTTGTGGCCATTGTTTTTAGTGTGTACTATTCTGCCATTCCTCTCTTAAACCAGGAGGTCTTACACTGATGGACATCAAGAGGACTGTGCCTCTCCTTTAAGTAGCAAGCAAAATGTTGTATAGGTGTGTGCTTTGATAGAAGTGAAGACATGACTTATTTCAGATTCTCAGTAGGGTCTGTGATCACTAAAACTTAAAAACCTTTAATTTAAATGTTGGGGTTTTTTTAGAGCTCTGTTTGAAGCCTACATTTATTCTTATTTTATTCACTTTTTTTGCACCTTCTTCTGTTGCTCTAAATTTCATATATTTATGACAGATTTGTTCCAACACATACCACTCTCCTAAGCTACATGCTTTTATATCTATACCTGAATACCTTTCAGGCATTTCAGATTTAATGGGCTCAAAATTAAATTCATACTCAGATAAACTTACTCTTCCTCCTTCACTCACTTTTTTTCATTAACGGTACCACTACCAAACAATTAAAATCACAAAATCATACTAGATGCTTCTTTTTTAAACTCTTCCAAGCCAATCCTTGACCAAGTATGTAGATTCTGTCTTTTCTTTACATTTGGAATTCATCTCCTTACTGCCCATATTTAATTTTTGAAATTTACTTTTAAAATTAAATTTATTGGGGTAACATTGATTAATAACATTATATAAATTTCAGGTATACAGTTCTATAATACATCATCTGTATACTTCATTGTGTGCTCATCACCCAAAGTCTAGTCTCTGTCACCATGTATTTGACTCCCTTTAATCTCTTCATCCTAATTCAAGTCTTCCTAATTCCTTTTCTAACCCTAACCCTCCCTTCCTTCCTTCCTTCCTTCCTTCCTTCCTTCCTTCCTTCCTTCCTTCCTTCCTTCCTTCCTTCTCACCAGAGGATATTTTTCCATTGATTTTTAGAGAGAGTGAAAGAGTGTGAGACAGAGAGAAATATCAATTTGAGAGAAACACATTGATTGGTTGCCTCCTGCATGCACCCCAACCAAGGCCAGGGCTGGGTGGGAACCTACGACTAGGTACATGCCCTTGACCGGAACTCAACTTAGGACCCTTTGGTCCACAGTTCAATGCTCTATCCATAGAGCCAAACTGGCTAGGGCACCCAGTTCTTTTTGCCCCTCCACATTGCCATGTCCCCATGGGATCTTTCTAAAATGTAAATGGAATCACTCATTTTCTTGTTCAAATTCTTCTATGTGACCCAAGTAGCCTATATGGTCCAAACATTTAGCATGGCAACAAGGTCCTTCACTTATGACTCCAACCTTTCAGGCTTCATTTCTGGCCTTAAATGTACTTTTTAAGTACAAGAGTCATGGCTCCTACCCATCTGGTAAATTGGAATGCTCTCCCATCTCTCATCACTTGGCAATTTCCTATTTACTTCTCATGATCCTCTCCTCTGTAACCCTTGCCAACCCGCCTTGTCAAGGAGTTAAGTACTCTCATCTTTCTGTCCTCAGAACACCTTACCCAGTTCTTATGGTGTTTTACTGTTACCCCCAACTCAGCTCTGGTTCTGTCTATACTACCAATATATTGACATTGGTCTTTAGTCATTTTTCCCCCCAGACCCAGATCTACACAGAAAGATATGCAGGGTAGAGTGATTAGGCTCTGGATACACCCAGGGATGGTATAAGCTGTGGCTCTTGACAAGACTGTTAAAAGGCACAGAACTATTCCATGGAGAGGGAAGGCCAAGGACTCCTTTGGCTAAGTGCCAAGAGCGCATCTGCAGATTCTCTGTAGGTAAGCAGTTCTTTAGACTACAAGTCAGCAAATGGTTTCTTGGGGCTCTGAAAGAGTTGTAATGAGATTTTAGGGACCAACTCATGATATATGACAAATTGCCAGTTATAAAAACAGTCATGGGCTTTTTTTTCCTGGAAAGTGCATTGTCCACTGTTATAGAGAAGACAGGCAAGATGGGGGTGGGCTGCAGCTCTGGGAATGGAGGTGAAGGGGCACAGGGCTTCCCCCATCAGCAGAAGTGGGTGTGGGATCCAGATAACAGGATGAGCAGTGGGAAGAACGCAAAATAAACATCTCAAAAGTCTTTCTCTAATATCCTTCACCACAAAAATTATACTGACCTTGATTACAGTGTATTTCCCATAAGTCAATCTTCTCATCCCCAGGCATGGCTGAGGCCCAGGTCTTCCCTGAGCAACCAGGACAGAAGCCCTGCTTTTCTGTGCTATTCCCACTTCAGTTCACCCCGATCCATTCAGCGCCTCAGCCCAAATCCTTCAACTCATCCCAGACTCCTTTCAGACTCTCAACCCCATAGCCCTGTGGTCGGCAAACTGCGGCTTGCGAGCCACATGTGGCTCTTTGGCCCCTGAGTGTGGCTCTTCCTAAGCCTTAGGAGTACCCTAATTAAGTTAATAACAATGTACCTACCTATATAGTTTAAGTTTAAAAAATTTGGCTCTCAAAAGAAATTTCAATCGTTGTACTGTTGATATTTGGCTCTGTTGACTAATGAGTTTGCTGACCACTGCATAGCCTGTCTGACAGCAACTTCTTTCAACCCTACTTTCAAAATATATGGAAATTCTATTCATTCCTCCCCTTGTCCCACTGCTGTCCGCTCTGTCAGCTGCTAGCCAAATCTCTGAGAAACCTAAAATAGATAATGTCCTTAGCCTGCTTTAAAACAACAACAACAACAACAACAAAAAACAACAGTCATGGGGATATAAAGTACAGCATAGGGATTATAATCAATAATATTGTAACAATTATGTGGTGTTAGATGGGTACTAGACTTATTTGAGTGATGACTTTGTAAGTTACATAAATGTCTAATTACTATGTTACACACCTGGAACTAATATAATATTGTATGTAAACTGTAATTGAAAAATAAAAAGATGTATATGAAAATCAATTTGTACCCCTATAGACTTCAATATATAAAATAATTTTTATGTTTATAAAAATTTGATAAAATCATTTGGTTTTATATCAGGTCTCAGAAGTTTAGAACTTGTAGGCACCCTTAGAGGCTTGAAAGAGGCAATTTAGCTACAAGTGAAATAAAGTGAGAAGATAGTGGAGCCCTTGGTTTTTAAGATTCCACCAATGAAATCTTCTGATAACTTAAATAAATACTCATTTCCTCAAGGCTAGGAGCAGGCCAACAGAGTATAAGCTTAAGAAGAACGTTGTGGTTGTAGGAGGCACAGAGTAGGCAACATAGGGTAGTGAAAAGATCATGAGTTGTCAAGTCAGGAAGACCTGGATTTGCAGCCCATCACTTCTATCTTCCAGGTGTTTATCTTTGGACAAGTTGTGTGACATCTCTGAGCTGTAGTGTGCTCATCTTTACTCCCCTTTATGGCATTATTGAGGGGCTGAGGATGCTCAGAACCAAAGCTAATAGATGTTGGTCCTCTCCCTCTTCTCCATGTAGGTGTAAACTAAGCCCATCCTTATCAATGAGAAATAAAGAACATGGAAGATAATTGCAGGTCTTATGATTGATTCCTTGGTGCTCCTGGTAGACACAACATGGGGATGACTAGACCATTGTTCTAACACAATATTCTTATGAGGAATATTCATCTCTGACTATTTTCTGCTTCAAACTTACCTTACAGTTTTTCTCCCAGAAGGATGGAGGTAGTAGTTGCACAGGAAGATGAGTTTTCAGTGTCCTCGGGGAAGGCATTGCATTAGCCTGGTCAATTCCTGAAAAATTATACTGGCTTATTATTTACTTTTTAAAAAGTTGTTATTTCTTATGCAATTGATTGTGTCATTTTTTTCAAATATGACTTTTGGGTTTAATGTCATGTTTAGCCCTTCGTCACTCTTAGATGGTAAGAGCATTCTTTCCTGTTTTCTTTTAGTACTTAGTACATTGTGTTTCATTTTGTATGTTAAAATCTTTGATACATTGGCCTTCACTTGGTGTCTTATTTACTACTAGAGGCCCGGTGCATGAATTTGTGCATGGCAGTGGGGGGGTTGGGGGGAGGAGGGACCAAGGGAGGTTGGCCGCTGGCCCTGAGGAGGGAGCCAGCCCTTGACCCCCAGGGGAAAGGGGCCGCATCTGCCACCATCCACCCCCGGTTCCCCATCCCAGCCCAGGCCCAAAGGCCCTGGAGGGATCCGGAGAGGTGGCTATGGTTGCCAGGCTGGATGCTGACACCACTGTCCTGAGCACCTCATGGTTTCCTGCCTCCCCCCCTTATTCCCTTGCCACTGCACTGCCACCGTGGTGGGTGGGCGGCTCCCAAGGAAGAGAGAGGATGGGAGCGAGACAAACTCTTGTGTCCAGGGCTGACTTTCAATAGATAGCAGCGAGGGAGCTGCTCTGCTATGTATGCAACCCCGACCCAGAAGCAAGTCTGTATGATGGTTTAGCACCAGGGGTCGATGAGGGCCGGTTGGCCAGGGGGAGGGGCTGCAGGAGGTTAGCTGTGGGAGCGCACTGACCACCAGGGGGCAGCTCCTACATTGAGTATCTGGTCCCTGGTGGTCAGTGTGTGTCATAGCGACTGGTCCTTCTGCCATTCGGTCGATCTGCATATTAGGGTTTTATTATATAGGATAATAAAGGTTAACAATCCATCCAAATTTCTAAAAGGTACTAGGGCCTTAGATCATAGAAAGTCAAATATCCTTAGAGCAGCGGTTCTCAACCTGTGGGTCGCGACCGCTTTGGCGGTTGAATGACCCTTTCCCAGGGGTCGCCATATAGAGAGAGAGAGAGAGAGAGAGAGAGAGAGAGAGAGTCCCCCTATCTGTTTCTCATCTCATTAACCTTCGCTAACTACAGCAGTATTGCTCAGCATTAGGGGTTGTTGATACAGATACAAATGAGGCCGGCGCCGAGAACTGAACTTACAAGCTCCTGCTTGCTCTGACCTCCAGTGCTGGGCAAGACTCTGGGGGACCTAGACACATATGGGGAGAAACTAGACTGTCTGGCATCAGGGAAGAAACTTGGGGGCGGCTTTCTTCTAGACGAAGGTGCTTGCAGGGGTCATTGTTCCTGTGCTAGGACCTCACCAGTGGAGGGTTGACTGGCAGCCATTTCTGTTTGCTCCACTCTGGTGATTCCCTGAGATCCCACTCCACCCAATTTACAACCCCACCCAAGCTGTGCACAGCAGCTTTTGCATATGAATGGTCTGTCCTTGGTCAGCCTAAAACCTGTCAAACAAGCTGTAGCTGGGTCAGAGAGTCCCAACCTATCAATAAAGGCCCAAGGCTGGCACCAGCCTGCCTTGCTTCACAGCTAGGCCTCACCTGGGCACTTCCAAACCCAAAACAAAGAGGAGGAATCTGCAGATCTCTCTGTAGCTCCTGCTGGATAGCCCCAGGCAGTGGCTGACTTTGCACATCCCTGGAGACCCAAGAACCAGGGTACCCAGTGGTCAGTGTAAGACCATACCAGATTACAACTCTTCACATCCATAAGCAACACATTCAAGGGGAAGACTCAGTGAGCACCAAAGCCCTACTGAAGGGTGTCTCCTGCGCAGCAGCTCTCCCACTGTAGTAGCAGCTGGTCCCCACAGCCAATTGACCTGGAGGTCAAGTCCTCCTAGTGACACCAACAGCAATCAAAGCGCAACTACAAAAAAACTGTGTACACAGCCAACACAGGAGTGCACCAAGAGTGTCCACCTCAGGTGACTGCGGAGGCTGAGCCATTGGGCCCTATAGGACACTTACTACACAAGGCCACTCTATCAACTTAAGGAGACTTAGCAGCTACCCAATACATAAAAACAAACACAGGGAAGCAGCCAAAATGTGGACAAAGAAATGTGTCACAAATTAAAGAAATGGAAGAAAGCAAACTACTGGATATAGAGTTCAAAACCACAATTATAAGGTTACTCAAGAATCTTCTAGAAACTTCCAAGGAACTTAGTGAGACCTTCAAGGATCTTAGTGAGAATGCCAAAAAAATGGAAAAGGACCATTCAGAAATTAAGCATACACTGACTGAAATAAAAATAATATACAGGTATTCAACAGTAGACTAGAGGATCCTGAGAATCAAGTCAATGATTTGAAATATGAGGAAGCAAAAAACACCCAACCAGAAGACCAAAAAGAAAAAAGAATCCAAAAATATGAGGATAGTGTAAGGAGCCCCTGGGACAACTTCAAGCATACCAACATCCGAATTATGGGGGTGCCAGAAGAAGAGAGAGAGCAAGATATTGAAAACCTATTTGAAGAAATAATGACAGAAAACTTCCCCTACCTGGTGAAAGAAATAGACTTACAAGTCCAGGAAGCGCAGAGAACCCCAAACAAAAGGAATCCAAAGAGGACCACACCAAGACACATCATAATTAAAATGCCAAGAGCAAAAGACAAAGAGAGAATCTTAAAAGCAGCAAGAGAAAAACAGTTAGTTACCTACAAGGGAGTGCCCATACGACTGTCAGCCCGATTTCTCAACAGAAGCTATGCAGGCCAGAAGGGAGTGGCAAGAAATACTCAAAGTGATGAATAGCAAGAACCTACAACCAAGATTACTCTACCCAGCAAAGCTATCATTTAGAATTGAAGGTCAGATAAAGAGTTTCACAGACAAGAAAAAGCTTCATCACCACCAAACCAGTATTATATGAAATACTGAAGGGTATTATTTAAGAAGAGGAAGAAGAAGAAAAAGGTAAAGATAAAAAATTATGAACAACAAAGTGACAACAAATATATATCTATCAACAAGTGAATCTAAAAATCTAATGAATAAAAAATATGATGAACAGAATAAACTGGTGAATGGAATAGACTCAGGGGCATGGAAATGAAACAGACTGATGATTCTCAGAAGGAAGGGGGTGTGGGGGGTGTGGGAAGAGAATAGACAAAGAACTTATATGCATGTATGCACTACCTATGGATACAGACAATAGGGTGGCGAGGACCTGGGGTGGGATGGTAACTGAGTGGAGAGGAGCTATGGGGGGAGAAAAGAGGGGCATCTGTAATAATCTCAACAATAAAGATTGAAAAAAACACATTTTAAATCCTATATAATAAAGAGCTAATATGCTAATTAGACAAGATGTTGGTGGAAAAACCTTCCGTAACGACCTTCTGGACGACCTTCATTATTTATTAAGGTAATAAAAATAAAAACATGAAGAGATAACATTTCATGTTAGGATGGTTATGGTCAAAGAGTTGGACAATAATAAATGTTGGAACCCTCATATATACAGTTGCTCTTGGGGAACAGTTAGGCAGTTCCTCAAAAAGTTAAACATAGAGTTACTGTATGAACCAGCAAATCAACTCTTAGGTGTATATACACAAGAGAGTTGAAAACATATGTCCACCCAAAAAACTTGTAACTGAATGTTCATAGCAGCATTATTCAAAATAACCAAATAGTGGAATCAATTCAAATATCCATTAGTTAATGAATGGATAAACAAAATGTGGTATATCCATACAATGGAGTGTTATTTAACCACAAAAAGGAATAAATACTGATATATGGTACATGATGACATTGAAAACATTATGCTAAGTAAAAGAGTCTAGACCATCCGTGGGCAAACTACGGCCTGCGGGCCGGATCCGGCCCGTTTGAAATGAATAAAACTAAAAAAAAAAAAAAACCGTATCCTTTTATGCAATGATGTTTACTTTGAATTTATATTAGTTCACACAAACACTCCATCCATGATTTTGTTCCGGCCCTCCGGTCCAGTTTAAGAACCCATTGTAGCCCTCGAGTCAAAAAGTTTGCCCACCCCTGGTCTAGACACAAAAGGCTATGTATTATGTGATTCCATTTATACGAAATATCCAAGAAAGGCAAAGACATACAGACAAAAAGTAGAGTAGTGGTGGCCAGGGGCTGGGGAAAGAGGAAATAGAGAATGATTGCTAATGGATACAGGGTTTTTTGTTTTGTTTTGTTTTGTTTTACTGTTCCGGAATAAGATAGGGGTGATGGTTGCACAATCATGTGAATATACTAAAAACTACTGAAAAGTGTAACTTTAAAAGGCTGAATTTTATGGTATGTGAATTATATCTCAAAAATAGAGTAATAAATTTTATTTAAAAAGAAGTGCATTGTGAATTCTTACTTTGAACACTGGTGTCCTTGGTGCCAGGCTTCCTTGACCTTGGCCTTGGCACTGGGGTTCCACATGTAAAAGCAGGAGCTCTGTTGGGGGACATTCCTTGGCACTTGTAACTCATTGACACGTCATTTAATAGGGAGATAGTGTATCTCTACTAAGTATTAAGGCTAAATAAGTTAAGTAAAGGAACTTATTTAGATTTGCACAAGAAAAGATAACTTTTATTCAGTATTTAGAATTGGGGACCAAAAGAAGTTTTTCATTTTTTTAGTGTAGTAGACTTTCAGAGTCTCTACTCCCAAATTCCCATCTTTATGTAAAGTTTATGATTTTTTTTATATTGGAGACTTACCAGAGTTTGTTGTTCTTACCCACTCCAAGAAAGGTTGTCGAAGATGAATGGGAGCCCGTTTGCTCTTCTCAATATCTCCGTTGTTCTGTATCAAATCTACAATTTCCTGTGTCCACGTAGTTCCTAAGAGTAGAATGAAGAACCAAGGAACTGATTATTAATCTTCTGCAATTTACAATTTAGAAACATCTTGTCTACAGCAAGAATTAATTTGTCTATCAATACTGCACTTATGTTACTTTACTATGTTGAATTGAAACCAATTATTAAGATTATCTTCTCACCAAAAAGGGAAGAAATGTGACATTCATTTTTGTCTTTCAATGATGTGTTTTTAAAAATCTAAATATGCATTGGTATTTTTAGAAAACGATCATATAAATAATTATTATATGTAATAATAGGGGTTTATTTTTAAAAGATTTCCATTTGAGAAAAATCACAGAAATTCACAACCACTCACTTTTACAATTAAACCCTTGCTGCTAATAAATAATTTTGTTTCCTGTCTGGTTATTTTTTCTTTTTAGAAACATGAAATTGTTCCAATGTGAAAAGGAAAGAAATTTAAAAGGGGAAAGTAAGAATTACAAATAATCCACAAACTGGAGGAATATAGATTGAATTAATTTCTCTTTAAAAGGAAAAGAAAGACTCAATGTAATATTAAACAACTACAAGAAGGTTGAATTGGTTTTAAATGGAAAAATAACCTTTGTTACATTTGGGGTTAATATTTCTTTCTTTCTACAGATTCATCTACTAACTCCTTCATGATTTGGGGTAGGGAGGGCGGTTCCTCTCACACCCGAGCCCCCTTGGCCTCTACAGTGTTCAGTCTCCCAGGAAATCTCCCCCTGATTGGCTTCTGGGACATGTGGGTGACCTGGTCTTATTTCTCAGGGAGAAAGCATGGTGGTTTGGATGTGCATGAGGCTGTGGAATTCGATGGACTCCAATCCTATCTCTGGTATGCATGATTTGGGTGGTTTTGATAAATTATATAAATTTCATTGAGCCACCAATTATTCTCATGTGTTTTGAGAATTAGAAAATAGGCAGAACCCAGCTTACAGTCAGCACTAAATAAATATTAAATGCCTTAATTTTTTTTACTGTGTTGATGTTAGTATACCTGGAGGGCCAGAGCCAGTACATGTGAGAGCATCTTGCTCAGGTAACCTGAGGGGGAGAAAGGTGCTATTCTTGTCATGGCACCCTCATGTGGGTTTCCTGAGGTCCTGGTTCCCCTTTCCCTAGTACCTTGATGGCGGTCCCTGGGTGCTGTCCAATGGTCCCCATCTAGACTCTACTCTGGTGCTATATCTGCTCAGCTCCTGGTTGGTTTCTACTCTGCACTAAAACCAATTTCTCCTGCTTCCCCCCTGGAATCAGAATTTGCTTCATCTTTGACAGTTTTGTTGCCTCTTTGTCAATTTATTGTCCTAACTCCATGTTTGGGTCTGCCAGATACAGTCTACTGGATCTGCTGCCTTTCCTGGATTCTGAGGGTGTGGCTGAGCCCCTCAAAGGAAGTGCCCTCCTCCTTTGCAGACTCTGCTTCTAGACTTGGTTTTGCTGTTGTAGACATTGTGAGCATCTCAGGAAACTCAGACTCCCTGAGTGGTTGGTCCAGACCATCCAAGGGCTTCTGACAGACTTCCTTGCCTCATACTCCAGACTTGCCTTGCAATTAATCCTGTTTATAGGGGGTGCACATCATGACTCACACTCACCACTAACTATTCCCTTTAGCTCCAGGAGAGCTAAATCCCACTAGTGCAGTGATGGTGAACCTATGACATGCGTGTCAGAGGTGACACACGAACTCATTTTTTTTGGTTGATTTTTCTTTGTTAAATGGCATTTAAATATATAAAATAAATATCAAAAATATAAGTCTTTGTTTTACTATGGTTGCAAATATCAAAAAATTTCTATATGTGACATGGCACCAGAGTTAAGTTAGGGTTTTTCAAAATGCTGACACGCCGAGCTCAAAAGGTTCGCCATCACTGCACTAGTCCATGCTCCTACTGCTTAACTTCAACTGCAATCTAATCTTTGCCCTTTCATGGACTCTACCTGCTAGCTGGCAAATTCCCAGATATGGATGTTTACGGGAATGGACTGTCAATAAGTTATGACCCAGTCCAAGCAAGCTCTGCCTCAAGTTAAGCCCTACAGAAATATATGGAAGATTGTAAAGAGTGCAGGATTTGCTGTCCAGATTTTCCTTCTGAATGGAAGGGTTCACTATCCCAGCTGCTGGCAGACAGCCCCTAGCTATTCATCCCTCTTCAGGACCAAGGTCATGGCCCTTTCCTGAGGCAGCTTACATTCAGTGACTGGCTGACACCTGGACCTCTCACCTCAACTACTATGGCACCAGCTCTGAAGAACCATCTAAGCTTCAGAGCTTCCAATGGGGATGGATAAGGCTTCGCTGAGACTGAGTTAAATCTCAACTTCTCCCTCTGCTCAATCCTGCTTCCTTCTAAAGGAAATGATCCCAAGAGCACTCCCTAGTAAACATCCCACATACTTATTTTTCACTCAGAGTCTGACTCCTGGGGAACCCAACCTTTGACATAGACAGAAAAGGGGCTGATTTGTGAGTAAAGTTCATGACTTAAGATTACATCATGCTGAACTAGATGGCAGCAGATGGGATTCTAGAATCTTACATGACCTTATATGGAGTTAGGGTCTTATAGAATTAATATCGTTAAAATGATGTCATTAGGATAGGCCCTAATATAATAAGGCTGGTGTTCTTACAAAATGGAAAAATTGGGGGATAGATATGCATATCGAGAGAATACCGTGTGAACATGAAACTGAGGAAAGAAGCCTGGAACAGTTTTTTCCTCATAGCCCTCAGAAGGAACCAACCGTGATAACCTGCAATCTCCAGCACTGTGAGACATTGAAGTTCTGTTGTTTAAGCCACCCAGTACTGGGTTGTAGTTGCCCTATCAGACTAATCAACTACCTGCGTAATAATCACAGTAGTTCAGAGTTTCTTTACGATACTTTCCTTAATCTAAATTAGGACCTGCCAATATTTTCTCATTATCGCTTCCATGTTTATGTGCCTTTAGCACATATTGTAACCAAAGACCTATGTCTTTGATTTGTTTAATGATTTAATGTCCTCCAGATTGGATTGTAAATGTCATCAGGGCAAATATAATGAACATTTTGTCTATCACTATGCCTGGTGCTAGTCTCTGGTGTTTAGAAGATTCATGAAAAGTTATAATTGAATGGGAAAAATTATTAGTATGCATGTATTGACCTGCAGAATCTAATTTAGCTAGTTATATAGCTATACTAATAAAAGGGTAATGTGCTAATTAGGGTGGACGTCTTCCTGATGACCTTCTGGACAAAGCTGCAGCGGCTGCAAGGGCCAAGGCTCAGGCTGGCAGTGGCACAAGCAGTGGGGTAATGGGGGCGGCGCCTTCCCCTGATACACCAGGTCGCCTCCTGCAGAGGAAGGCCAGACTGCAGCTTAAGCCGAGCCAAAGCAGAGGTGGTTAGGGGCGATCAGGCCGGCAGGGGGGCAAGTTAGGGGTGATCAGGTTGGCAGGGGGGCATTTAGGGGCGATCAGGCAGGCAGGCAGGTGAGCAGTTGGGAGCCAGCAGTCCCGGATTCTGAGAGGGATGTCCAACTGTTGGTTTAGGCCCGATCCCTGTAAATTAATATCTAATCTAATAAAAGAGAAACATGGAAATTGACCATAACTTCACTATGCCCCAAGCCATGACCACCAGCCAATCAGAGCAACTATATGCAAATTAACCCAACCAAGATGGTGGCCGGCAGCCACAGAGCTGGAGCAAGCAGGAGGCTTGATTGCCCCGGTGAAGGAGGAAGCCAAGCTTCCCGCCTGCGCTGGCTGGCTGTAGCCTCCGCTGAAGGCAACAAAGTTTCAATTATAGAAGAAAAATAAATCCCAGATACCTGCTTTCCAGCCAGCCTCCACTGGGAGCTTGGGTGGCTAGGGGCCATGGCCAGCCTGAAAACAGCCATCAGCCCCTCACCCAGGCTGGCCACACCCTCATACCACTTCCGTGATGAATTTTGTGCTCCGGGCCTCTAGTTTTTAATAAATCAAATACTCTATCTTAAAAAAAAAAAAACACTCATAGTTTTGTAGAAAAATTTCAGATCTTTTGCCTTTCTATCTGATTTATAGGCAAGTACACTGCTTCACTCCACCCTTGAACTTAACTGCATCCTACATGCCTATTTACATACCTGCTTTGGGATAGGAAGCAATGAGCAGGTCATCAGGCTTGGCTTCAAAATTCCAGATTTTATCCCAACTGTTGCATATATTCTTCTCTAGAACAATCCCATCTACTTGGGAAACTTCTCCTGGGGGTATCAAGGCCCATTCTAACTCCTTGTTCTTCTCCACCTTATCATTAGCCATTCTCTCTATCTTGTCTTGGGCGCCAACAGAGGAACGTGACAAGTAAATGAAAGGACTCACACAGGTTTTATATACTCAGTGCTTTGGAACAGATCTCTAGTCACTTATGATAGGTATGTTTGTTCAGGCAAAAAAGAGGCCTTATTTGCATGGCTCTGTATATCCTGAGTGGAACTGAACAAAAAATGCTAGTATTGTGCCAGAATATGCCTTCCTTATAGCCAGGGTCTGGCAGGGCTCCGCCTTTATGTTACCAGAAGGAAGAACAGTGAGAAGGCAGCTCAGCCAAGGGGCGTCCCCAGATCCGGGAGGTCACTTCCTGGTCCTGTGGGCGCCCACAAAGATAGGAAATTGAGAGGTGCCACTGAAGGAAAACCTGGGGCAAGTCACCAGGAACCACTCTTCCTTTCTTCATCCAAAGTTAGTGATTCTGTGTTCTGAGCTTGTCATCCATGACATTTGGAGGAATACCTTCCCAAGAATGAGAAGAACTGAGCTTCTGTAAACATGCCACCTGTTAGAAGCATATGTTGATGTCACCAGTTTGGACAGTTCACCTTGGAATTCCATCCCAACATCCAAGTCTGAATTTGAGAGTTACTTAATTTTCAGGGCTCTGTGGGTTTTTAAATTTTCTTTAAGTGTAAGGTTAGACTGTAATATTTAATGGGTATTACCAGATAGAGGTGTGTGTTTTTTCTTAAATCAAGGCATAATTAGCATACAGTAAAATGCACAAATCTTAAGTTTACATCTTAATAAATTTTTACTTATACATACACCCATACAACTGCCACCAGATCAAGATAGAAACATTTCCTTCACCTCAGAAAGTTCCATCCTGCCTCTTTCCAGTTAATTCCTCACCACTAACCCATGTCTAGGCAAGCAATGTTTTGACTTTTATTGCCATAAATAAGTATTGCCTAATCATGAACCTTATATAATGGCATCATACCATTATGTACCCCTTCATGTCTGGCTTTATTCTTTCAACATAGTGTTTTTGACATTACTGATAGAGTTCCAAGAGTCAGTAGTTTATTTATTCTATTACTATACACCATATAACTGAATATATTATAATTTGTTTAATTGCTACTATTTTGATGGACATATAGGTTGATTCCAGTTTTGGATGATTATGAATAAAGTTTCTATGAGACTTTAACACTTCCTTTTTGTGTGTAGACATATGCATTAATTTATCTTGGGTGTATGCCTAGGATCTGAACTGCTGTGTCATAGATATGATTAACTTGAGTAGAAACTGCCTGTTTCCCAGTACATAGATAAGGACACAGTTTAATGACATCAAAAGAGCCACATGACCACCTGTCTGAATGACTGTCTAAAGCTTTCCTTAATTTTGATATTTTTTCACTCTGGTAGTGTGGAAGAATGGCAGCCTTATATTTACCTCACTTAGTTGCTGTCTGGTAGCACTGTAAGTTTCACTCATCCTGTAGTGAATCCAGCATTGTCCTTGTGTCACTCTGTGTACTACATTGAAGAGTCAGACTTCAAGTGTTATCTCTGCCAGAATTTCTCTCAGCCTCAAGACTGATTCAACCTTAGCAGGGGGACGTCTTCTCTCTGTCACCATGAAGGGATTTTAGAGCCCATACTGTTCACCAATGTTCTAGTATGTTTCCTCTGGGTATGTTGGACATTGGCATTAATCGCAGATTTCAAACAAACCATTATAAAGGTCACCTGTGAAACAGTATTTCCCAACTTCAGCCTCAGTTACTGCCACTGCTTCCCCCTGGGGGTTCATCTTCGAAGAAGACCTGCCACCAGGAATCCCCGAGCAGAGGCAGAAGGGGGAAAGTTTGCTAACTACATTGCAGGATAGTTAGTTGTGGATGATAAGGGACAAGTAAAGGGACATGCTAACGTGACTAACTCAGGAAAGGCCTGTGTGGCGGCCTTGTAAATTCAAGAGACCTAAAGTAACCACAAAGGATGGTCTGAAATTAAAACCTTTATCAGGTCCTAGGCCAGTATCTTCGCTGATAAAGATCAACTTCGATTTTTACTGAGCCTATTGTCTTTTTGCATCTAAGATAACATATTTGTGGAATGTCAGGGTAACTTGTAACTTCCCTTTTTCTGGACTCCTCAGGGCACAACCCTGGTGCCAGGAGCTGACCACAAATTCCCTCATTGTTATTGTTATCATGTTAATGTCAGGGTATGTAACTTCCCTTTTTCTGGACTCCTCAGGGCACAACCCTGGTGCCAGGAGCTGACCACAAATTCCCTCATTGTTATTGTTGTTATGTTAATTGTTTTTTTTTTAATTAAATCTTTATTGTTCAGGTTACATTTGTTCCTCTTTTTTTCCCCCCCATAACTCCCCTCCTCCCAGTTCCCGCCCAACCCTCCGCCCTCACTCCCCACCCACTGTCCTCATCCATAGGTGCACGATTTTTGTCCAGT